ATGATTTCACTTATATGTGATATATAGAGAAAACAACAAACAGATGAATTAAAGAAAAGCAAAATAAACTTTTAGACTATAAGGCCAAATCAGTGGTTACCAGAACAGTAGTGGGGAGGGGACTGTGTAAATTGCATAGTAAAGGTCAATGGTATGGTGAAGGATAGAGTTGGATTTTAATGGTGAATTTAATGTAGTATATATACAGGCTGATTTTTAATGATGCATATCTGAAATTTATATAATGTTATATTACTTCAATTACAAAAAATTGGTTTTAGAGTTACAGAAGAATTGCAGAGAAAATCCAGAGGGTCCTTATTTGGTCTACACTTAGTTTCCCTTTAATAAAATCTTACATTAATATTTTAGTATAATTATTGATGTGGTTGGATTTAATTCTGTCATATCAGTGTTTGATTTCTGTTTTCCCATTTTATTTAAGTCCTTCTTATCTTCTTTTGGATTATTTTAACATCTTTTAGGGTTCTTACTTATTTTTTATTGGCTTTTTGGCTAAATCTCTTTGCATTATATTTTTAATGAGTACTGGAAGGGACTACAATGTTAATTTTTCACATTTCAGAGTTGAATTAGCATTAAGACTGTGCCCCATCCATGTAAAATGGACAGCTTTGCAGTGGTATACTTCCACCCCATACTCTGCCATCCTTTATGCTGTCATTGTTACATGTAATCTGGTTACTTATGTTATAAACCCTGTAAGACAAAATTATCATCCCCCTATAAACTGTCATGTGTATTTTAAAGAAATTAAGGTAAAAGAATAGTTTTATTATTGACCATTCTGATGCTCTTAATTCCTCCCTGAAATTTTTTCCTCTGGCATCATTTCCTTTCAGCTTGATAAACTCTATCATTCCTTAACGATAACTCTCTTTATCATTCTACATTAAATAAATGTAGAAACAATTTTTTAAAAATTTCAATTCAAATTTTGTTATCATTTACTTTATAATTATAAAGCTGCATAAATTATAAAACTATATAATTTGAGGAATACAGTTACATACCTCAATATGTGTTTATGTTTCATTCACCGACCCCCAAAAGTTCTAAAGTCATCACACTAATAAGTTGACTCCCTATGCCCATTGCTTCCACCCCCTTCCCTTTCTCCTTTGGTAACCACCATGTTTTTCACTGGGTCTAAGACTTATTTTTGTGTGTTTTGCTAATTTGTTTGCTTCAGTGATTTATATTCCACCTGAGTGAAACCACCTGGTAACTGTCTTTCACTTTTTGACTTTTTTTACTTGGCACAATTACCTTAAGTTCCATCCGTGTTGTTACAAAATCTTTTTAAATAGCTGAGTAGTATTTCATTGTGTATATATAGTATATCTGCTCTATCCAGTCACCATGAATGAGCATGTAGGTTAATTCCATGTTTTGTGGTGCAGGAGAATGGAGAACTTTATCAATGTTTTCATGTTCTTTGGATAAATACCTAGAGGTGGTATTGTTGAATCACATGGTATTTCCATTTTTAAAGGAATATCCATATGGTAAGAAAAACATGATTAAATGCAATAAAATCATATGCATGCTATAAAATCATATCTCTACTCTGATTACAGTTGTATAAAAATCTGTGAATATACATAAAAAAGAGTTGGAAGGAAGCCTGGAAAAAAATTAAGATTTTCTTTTTATGTAGCCTCTATTCTTTACCTTTTAAAAAAGCACATCTGTTGTTTGTGCAATAAATCTCAGTGCTATTAAAAATAATTCAGGGACAGAAAAATTATACACTATAGTGAATTTTGAACAGAGTATTGGAGGAGAAGGGAAGTGAAATAGAGTCCAGCTCTGGGGATCGAGTGAAATGTCATGAAGCCAAGGTTTCCAGGAGCTGGTGGAGATGCAGGGCCCCTAGCCAGGTTTGCAAACCAGTCCCTTCCCTCTGGGAGTCAAGTGCTCTGTCCTCCTGGGAAATGTAACTTCTTGCTTTAAAGACAAGTAGCTTAGGAAGGCTACTGACTTTTGCGTGTTGATTTTGTATCCTGCCACTTTACTGAATTGATGAGTTGAATTAGTTTTTCTGTAGAGATTTTGGGGTTCTCTATATCATCATATCATCTGCAAATAGTGATAGTTTGACTTCTTCTTTTCCTATTTGGATTCCTTGTATGTCTTTCTCTTGTCTTATTGCTCTGGCTAGGACTTCCAGTATTATATTGAAAAGCAGTGGTGAGAGTGGACATCCTTGTCTTGTTCCAGATCTTAATGGAATTGCTTTCAGCTTTTCACCATTGAGAATGATACTGGCTGTTGGCTTGTCATAGATGGCCTTTATGATGTTGAGGTATGTTCCTTGTATCCCAAGAATTTCAAAGGCTTTTATCATGAATGGGTGTTGCACTTTGTCGAAAGCTTTCTCAGCATCTATTGATATTATCATATGGTTTTTATATTTCTTTTTGTTGATGTGTTGATTGATTTTCGGATGTTAAACCATCCTTGTGTCCCTGGAATGAATCCAACTTGGTCGTGGTGAATTATCTTATGGATACATTGTTGGATTCTGATAGTTAAAATTTTATTGAGGATTTTTGCATCAGTGTTCATTAGGGAGATTGGCCTGTAGTTTTCCTTTTTTGTGTTGTCCTTATTCGGTTTTGGTATTAGTGTAATATTGGCTTCATAGAACGTGTTTGGTATTGTCCCTTCCTTCTCAATTTTTTGGAAGAGTTTGTGAAGGATAGGCACTAATTCGTCTCTGAATGTTTGGTAGAATTCATTTGTAAATCCATCAGGTCCTGGGCTTTTGTTTTTGGGGAGGTTTTTGATTACCATTTCAATTTCGCTGCTTGTAATTGGTCTGTTTAGGTGTTCTATTTCTTCTTTATCTAGCTTTGGGTGATTGTAGAGTTGTAGGAATTTGTCCATCTCCTCTAGATTGTTGAACTTGTTTCCATATAACTGTTCATAGTAGTTACTAATTATTCTTTTGATTTCTGCTGTGTCCGTTGTGATTTCTCCTCTTTCATTTATGATCCTGTTTATTTGTGCTTTCTCCCTTCTTTCCTTTGTGAGCCTGGCTAGGGGTTTGTCTATTTTATTTATTTTTTCAAAGAACCAGCTCTTGGTTTCATTGATCTTTTGGATTGTTTTTTTAGTTTCAATTTCATTTATTTCTGCTTTGGTTTTTATTATTTCTTTTCTTCTACTGGTTTTGGGGTTTTTACCCAAAGGACACAGAAACATCAATTCCAAAGAACAGCTGCACCCCTATGTTTATAGCATCACTATTTACAATAGCTAAGCTTTGGAAACAGCCCAAATACCAAAAATAGATGACTGGATCAAGAAGATGTGGTACATATACACCATGGAATATTACTCAGCATTCAAAAAAGATAAACACATGCAATTTGCAGCAACATGGATGGCGTTGGAAGGGATCATGCTCAGCGAAATAAGCCAAAAAGAAAAAGAAAAATACCGGATGGTCTCACTCATAGCAGGAATCTAGAAAACTTAAATAAGGGACCAGGAAAATGAATATAAGAAAGTGAAAATCAAAATCAACAAAAAACTATGAACCAGAGACACTTTTTGGGGGTGGGGGGCGGGAGGGGAGGGATTGGGGTCAGAATGGGGCGTTTGCAATTGTATGGGGGAATATAAAAATAAAATTTATTATTTAAATTAAAAAAAATAAAAAAAAAATAAAGACAAGTAGCTTAGAGCAAATGCAAAACTCAGACTTCACGTGGGCCCTACAAAACATGGTGATACATTTGGGGAAGCAAACCAGAAACATACGGATTAAATTTTGCCTGAAATTACAAGACAGTTTAATAGACAGGAAAGATGATTCTCAAGGGAAAAATCATGTTTTGGCATTCCTTTTCCAAACCCCAAACATTTAAGAGATGCTTTTGAATACTTTCTTAAAAAAAAACAACCAAACAAAAAAAATCCAAACCCTCCTGTGTCCCAGAACTTGAAAAGCAAGCTGAAATGATTGTCTTTTCTATAGTTGTCCCTGTGTCTATACAACAAAGGATTTCCTGATTTAATACTGCCTTACCAGAGGTCAAAAGGAAAGACATGGCTTCTATCTGCATCTTTCCTCTGCCATTCACTATCATTGGGAATTGGGGGAGGCTTCTTTAGAGGCACGAATATCAGTTTCTTTATCTGTAAAATGTGGCTGTGATAACTTCTCCGCAGAGATGAAAATGAGAGGGAATACTCACAGTGTCTCTGAGTAACATTTCTGGCCATCATTAACCCTTGACAAGCCCCTGGCATCTGTCATTATTATATAGCTAAATAATTCAGTCTATGCAATATAGGGTTTTTCTTATTTCCTAGACATACAGCAATAATTTTTCTAGTTAAGTTACTATATATTGTTTGCCTTCAAAGAAGAGAGAAACTGAGGATTGAGAGAGAAAATTGGTTAAATATGCAATTTTTGAGTTATCAGAACTGTGTTCAAATTTTGTCTTCACTAGATAATGAGCTATATAACTTTGTTACCTTTTAAAAAAAGGTAACTTCATTTATCTGCAAAATGAGAACCATTACACTCATTTACACTTATCTATTAGTATTGTGAAGATAATATATTTGAAGTACTTGAATATAGTACCTGAATATAGTAGTTTTCCAAAAAAATGGTAACTATCATCATCATCATCATCATCATCATCAATGTTCTATTAGATATCAAACATTCTTTCCTTAAAATATTCCTTAAATTTCCCAACCTAGCTAGAGTCCAAAAGTCACATTCTAAAATAAAACTGTATACAAACATACTGGACACTTAGCTTTTTCCCTTCCTTCTTTCTTTTTATAGATCCACTCTACTTAACACTCCACTTTTAATCATCCCTTTGAAGCATCAATGGTTACATTTTACTAGAAAGATGGCACTTAACTATAAATTCACCACAATTAAGTTCACTATTATGAAACTGAAAAGTTTTGATGAAATAGTGAATGATCCTTGAATGACTCACCTTCACAATTCATAACTTAAAACCTTGGGTTCACGGGGCCCAACTCCAAAAAGGGATAGGTATAAATTTGTCTTCTGTGTCTCCATGAGAAGTTCCTTGGAAGTAGTCAGAGCACATTAAGTGCTGGAAGATGCCTTGGGAGGTGATCTACCCACAGATATCCACTGATCATCTGCTTTGGGCTCAGTGCTGGACTAAAGGCAAGGACACAAAGAGGAAATGTGTAAGGTACAGTTCCTGAATACAGGGAGTTCACAACCCAAGTGGATCTTAGCAGCTACAACAATGCAAAGTTTCCCTAAGGAGAATATCTTAAGGGAAGGGGAAGACCTAGTGCTGCTTTACATGAATGATCTCTGTTATTTTATCTTCACAATCTAATAGATAAGTGCAATAACTGTGATGGTTATTTTGAAGATAAATGAAGTTAAATCCCTTAACAAAGTTATATAGTTCATATCTAGTAAAGACAAAATTTGAAGTTTGATAACTTGAAAATAGCATATTTAACCAACAAGAATTCTTACAACATCCGATGACACATGCATTTTATCATCTCCATTTAACAGACAAAGAAATCAAGACCCAAAAGTTATCTAATCTCTTCTGCCGAAAACAAAACGAAACAGTAAATGGATCCTATGGTTGTACTAAAAGTCATACCCAGACAGAAACCATGCTTCTAGATAACAAGTTGAAAAAAGCAAGATAAATCTTTCTATTTTGCCCTTCTGTAAAATGGGTTAATAGCTATGAGTCAGTTAGATAGATCCTTTATGGGAAAATTACTTTTTATGGGTAGAAATCTACAAAAATGTTATAGTTTCTACTCAATTCTGATCTCTAGGTTCTTTGGTTTAGCTGTGACAAGTTCCCATATCAAGTTGGCTTCTAAAAGAGTGTTCTGGGTCTCCCTGGTGGCACAGGCGGTTGAGTACAGCACTGTGAAGCTGTCCTCAGCCTCTGCAGTGCCGGTTCGATCCCCGCTGGCCTCGGAGCAACCCACATGGTGAACAGACCTCTCCTGTCTTGCCCGCTGCTCTCCTCAGCAGTGTATTTCATCAGTCTGCCTGTTCTGTTCCCCGCTCTGTCTCTGGTGAATCCACTCACCATCCCGCGCATCTGGCCTGTACCCCAGTTCTTGTATAAATAAAACAAATCCTTAAAAAAAATAAAAAAATAAAAAAAATAAGAGTGTTCTAACTGTGCTAAAACATCATCCCCACTTCACATAATAAAATGTTCTCTTGTCTATGAGCAGATCATTTTTCCAAGAATCTTATAGTGACAAAAATCAACAAGTTTCTTGTTGGAACATCTTGGTCATTAAAAATACATTAATAGCTCATTATTCAAGATACTGTACTAATTCTGCTCATTTCCTATTAAAACTTATTTGTCCTAAGAGCCTAATCAACCAGAAGTAGTGTTCAGTGGCCAAAAGAGTATGCTCCATTAAAGAAAAAATAAAAGAATTATGACCAAAATGGCAATTATAATATATTTATCTGGCACTGAGCTCCTCTAATGATTAAATGGCTTTGTAATTCATATAGAAAAGGGGTGAGAAAGGGCCTCCCCTGGTGGCGCAGTGGTTGAGCGCTGAGCTGCGAAGCTGCCCTCAGCCTCTGCAGCGCCGGTTTGATCCCCGGCCGCCGGCAAGGGTCACACATGGTGCGCAGACCTCTCCTGCCATGCCCGCTGCTCCCCTCAGCAGTGTATTTCGTCAGTCTGCCTGTTCTGTTCCCTGCTATGGCTCTGGTGAATTCTCTCACCCTCCCGAGCTTCTGACTGTACCCAGTGCTTGTATAAAATAAATAAATAAATCTTTAAAAAAAAAAGGGTGAGTATAAATGTATTCAAAAGTAAAACTAAAGAGGAAGGGGTGTGTGTGTGTGTGTGTGTGTGTGTGTGTGTGTGTGTGTTGGCAAGCAATAGGTCTTAAGGACGTTTCAGAATTCTTCGGAAGAGAGAGATTGCTAAAAGTGCTTCGGCAATGGATTTTTGTTTTTCTCTAATTTTTCTTTTTCCTTTACTATTTTTAAATCTCCATATCTAAATAATCAGAACCAACTCTGAGCCACCTCACAACCAGAATTTCCCACTCCACTACCTATTAGCCACTGACTTTGGGATCCTAGACACTTTATTTAGTCCCAAGCTTGACTTTCAGATTTTAGGTTTCATTCTCTGGGTCTCAGTAAAATCATACTGTAATAACATGTCGGGGCTGTGATAAGATTTAAGATTAATGTAGTGGAAGGTAAGCACATTGTGGATGCATTGTAACTACTCCATAAATGATGCTGTAACTGTTTTTACTCCCACTCAGACTTTTTACTGCCAGGGATTGTATTTTATTCAACTTTGCAAACACAGCTCTAGCACCATGCTTAGCATGTGGCACTCAACTGGAGTCCCCGAATCTGAAGCAGTGTCTGAGCTTTAAGATGCTCCAGTGTCACAGCATCTTGCTCTCTGTGGGGGCCCAGTGTTTGCTTTTGAATGTGTTGATTTTGTATTAAATACTGAGACCTGTTTTCACCCTCAAGAATCTTATAATTGAGTTGGAGAGCAAAGTTTGTACATATGAAGGGACAAGAGAATACTGTCTGTGATGGATTCCCATTTCTTTTCCTTACCCAATATCCATTTCCTCTTTTTCTGGAAAACCTGGTTGTCCTTGGAATTGCCACTCTGTACTTTCTGCTCATAGATGCTACTCAGCATTTTCCAGAAAAAAATAATTATTGAGGAATTCAACAATATAGTCATTTTAGGGAACCATGTGACCCAGCTTTGACCAATCAGAGCATCACATTCCGGTGCCCTCCATGATAGGGTTGGAGATGGGTAGACTGTCATCTGAAACTTGTCAAAAATATGCTCTCTGAACCCAACTTTTGCAGAAGTGACAGATTACTCTGATAAGCTCAAAGACTGTAGTATATACCAGGAGGCAGAATATACCAGAAGGCAACTGGCTATGAGATGTTTAAAGATTTCAGTTTCTTGAGATGCTCCCCTACCCCCCAATGAAAATGCTCCTGGTTGGTGGTGATGGAACAAATGCCCCATGGGTGGGAGGTGCTGATGGTCTTGGGGAGTTTCCCCTGGGTCATCATCCTAAAAACACCTGTAGCTTCATGGCTGCAAAAACTGACTTTATCCAGTCTTATCAATTTCTTATTTTTCACCACGGACACTAGTACACTACATGGTCCCAAGTATCCTTTGCTGGCATCACAACATCTAATGATGACAATTATCTTGGCGGTCCAGAAGCAGATGAGCACAGGAGGTCAATACCAGGTAGTGCCCAATCACTGCCCATGAGATGCTGACTGGGAATCTGTGGAATTGCTGCAAAAGGGACTGTGCTTCCAGCTGGTGATGTTAGTAGGAAGAGATTCTACATGGAGCTGCTGGGTGGGGTCATGCCACCCCGAGGTGGAGATCTTCAGAAAGGAGCCCATCCAGAGGAAGACATAGAGAATCAGGGTCCTGATGCTGTCTTGAGCATGTATTCCTCAACTTTCCAGTTTTGCAGCTAATAACTTGTCACTTTTGTTTTTGCCTAAGACAATTCAAATTATAAATTGTCAGTTGCAAGCTACAACACAAATGAGTGATTCAGATAGCAAATGTGGTGATTCCAACAAAAGAAGTGGAAATTATTCCTGGAGTAACTGGGTTAACTTCTTGAAGTACTTGGAACAGAGAATGGTCTTTGGAAATCTGAGGCTACCTGGGTTAGTACAAAAGGGAGGATACTACCTGCTGAGGTAATTTATAGAAATAACATGGAAGGGGATAAATGAAGAAAGGAAAGATGAGAGCAGTCTGGTGTGACAAAAAGGGCATTGGACAGGGCATCTGGGCTCACATCCTTGTTCGGCCACGAACCACCAGAGGGCTGTAGAAAGACCACTCTTCCTTTTGGGGACTCGGTTTCCCCTTACGTCAAGGCATTGAATTGAACAGAACAGATTTCTAAGGTCTTCTCTAACTCTACCTTCTCTGGGCCTGTGAAGTCTCAGAAGGCTGCTAACAGTCCTGTATATTTTACTCTTCCCACAGTTTCTTCTGTGCTCCTGGAATAGAGATTTTTTTGATTTTTTGCCTTCCCTCTGCTCCCCTCCCCCCACTTCTTATCTACGTGGCAAAGAGCAATCTTTTCCCCTTATGTTCTGAATGAAATGGAAATGGACAAGCTACAGTCACTGAAAAGCCATGACTTTTAAGCTCTGAAAGCACTTGATTGTGCCTGGAGAGAGCTCATCCCCGGTGAGGGTGATGGAAGCAATGGGAAGGGGCCACCCGGTTAATTGCACTTCTGTGGAGATTAAAGCTCAAGCCAAGGACATGGAGGCACTTTGCTCTTTGTGAGCCCTCTTCTTCTGCCCTCTTCCCTTGCTGCAGAAAAAACTCTGGCACCCAGGTCTAAATTAAGATCCAAGCTGTATTGTATGCAAATCAGATATTGAACTTGAGGTGTAGCTGTGCAGCCTGCAGCATTTGCTGTTTCCCCAAAAGAAACATTTTCACATTCATAATCCAATGAAGTCCAGACATAAAATCTCACCCGGGCTTACATCTTTGCCTGGAATGTGCTCTAGGTTGCAGAAAGACTTGTAAAACCAATTAGAACTCTTCAGATGGGATTTGAAGGGGGATTTACTCAGGCATACATCCTGAATTCCCAGTCCCCAAATCACTATCTAACACTATGTACACAAATTTGTTTATTTACTGTCTGTCACCACCTAGAAGGCAGGACTTCATCTTGTTTACCACTGAAGAGCTGAGCTTGGCACAGAGTAATTGATCAATGAATGTTGACTGAATGAACAAATGTAGTAAAAGATTTATGTGAGTTCCTTTAATTAACCAGGAACATAAATAGTTGTGTATCAGGGTTTTTGATCAGATGAGAAAACCACAGATACCACACAGAGATGGTGTAATTCTAACCCCAATCAAAGCCACCTCATGTTGTATGTGCTGTTATATGAAGATAATAATCAGGCAGTATTTATCTGGTTTTTGAAAACACTAAAAATAGTTCATGGCCCTTGAGGCTCCAAGAACCCAGCTGGGCATCTTTCATCTCAACCCTTTGCCTATAATGTATAGAAAAAAAAGATTTGTGTTTAAGCACATGCTCAAGACTCTTATTTAGAGAGAGTTCTGG